CTGAGCGCCGCAAGGAGAAGCAAAGAGCAGGTTTGGAGGCTCCGCTGAAGAGGAAAACGGGACATAGGAAGAAACACCAGCCCTTCCTTCCCTCCCTCCCTGCCTCCGAGGTGGCTCTGCTCTACAGCTCTCAGGGGCAGTTTTAAAAGGTAAAAACAAGATAAATTGTTCCCTAGGCTTATAAATAACACATGAGCAATTAAGTCTCTTTTTATGGATGCTTCATCAAATATTCATCTATTTTTATTTTCATAAATTTTACAATTTACAAGTTGTTTTTGCCTCAACTTTATGTTAACAAGAGCCTTGAAGCTGACAAATTTAGCTTCAGGTAACGAGCGGTCAGCTTAGAAGAACAGTAAAAAGAAGTAGGACCTTCCCCTTACAGCTTCAAACATCATTTTTTTTGTGCTTATTTTTAAGAGGCAGGAATGAAAAGCCGGTCCTCTGTGTTAAATATATATATGTATGTTAATATAAAGCTTATTGCATGAGGACTATGGAAGCCTAAGTGCATTTATGGTGTCCATCCATGTGCATGCATTCGGGCCAAGCTCTCCGGCCACATTCACCATGTAACTGATGGAAGACCAGGTGCTTAAACAGAGGAGGTTATTCCGAAGACCTGGGAAGCTGGAGTTTGCACATGTCCTTCAAGACCTTAGCTAGCTGAGGTAGGACTTCTAAAGGGAAAGCTCTAGAAAAACCAGATTTATCACAGTTTGGGCTATGGACACCGAGGCAGAAGCACTGAACCATCCACATACACCCATGGGATAAGGGATCCTGCGGAGTGTGCCGGAAGAGAGCCAGGAGTATTTCTGCAGGGCTTCAGAAAACTCATTTGTTTCATATGACCTGATCTCCACTGCAGAGCTGCAGTTCAAAGACCAGCTTTGCACATGCCAGAACTTGCAGAGAGGCAGCACAGAACTCCACAGGGTGGAGAGACCTGCAAGGGGAGAAGGAAAACAAAGTTATGTAATAGCCACCTAAGAAAGAGCTTCAGGTGACCAATACTGGGGGATCCTTCATCCAAACCTTGATCTACTGTGAAGAGCTAAGCAGAATAACCTTAGCTTCTAAAAGGTGCTTCATTTTCTTCCATATTTTCAAAAAGTTGAAGTTCCAGGCCGGTTTTTCTAGTGAAGAAATAGAGAAAATCCTGTTCCTTACAGCAAGGGATCCCAAGAGAACACGTTAGGGGTCACTTTGACTGCTATAGCCTGAGTTAAAATGAAGGCCCCGAGATTTTTTTCCATAGGAGACTTAGTTGCACAGCTCCACGCGTTGCCTCTCGGTTCAAGCGAGGTATCTCAGCGCCGCGCCGTGGGACGAGAGCAGGAAATCTCCCAAGGATCGTGGCATCCCACGCTGGCACGCTGCTCCAGCGCCGCTCCATGCCTGGCTGCCCCCGAGCCCCGCGGAGCGGCGTCAGCACCACAACGAAACGGGGCTGCGGAGGCGAGAGGAAGCCAGGGGAAACAGCTCATTAAAAAGTAAAAGCGCTCACAGTGTCCCTCTTCCACGTCACGAGCTTAAGGAGCACTTACTCTGCACGCTCTGGCTTAGCTCGCCCTTGTTTCGTCGCTCGCTTAAGCCGGGACCTCGGCTAAAAACTGAACTTGGGCTTTAGTGAGTAATATCCTGGTGCGCTTTGTAAATAAAGGAAAACAAGATCATTCGATAAATGCCACTCAATTTTATTAAACCTGTTACACATGTAGAAATGTCATTTAATCCTCTGGTAAGCAAAGCGACTCCAAAGRAGGAATCCAAGTGTTCTGAACACATTGCTTTAAAATAGAAACATCTAAAAAAAATGGAATTCTTTTTAAAAAAATAAAAWTCCTAAGAGAAGAAAACCTCAAGCAAATACGAAAGCTTAAGCCAACTATAATATGCAGAAACCTAATATTCCAATAACTGAAAATAACTCCCAAATCCAATAACCTAAAAGCGCTTTACGAGGGTTTCCTCCCGAGTTGTGGCGAGCGGTTCCGCGTCGCAGACGCGGGGGAAGAGCACCCAGACGCTCCCCTGCTTGCGAGTCCTAGCTCCAAGCGACAGCTTTTGTTGTAAACKTTTGTTTAGAAACACCAGATTACACGATAAGGCTCTTCCAAACGAGGTTATGGAAGAAGACACCGAGGAATCGCTCTCCAGCAGCACGAGGAATTGCACAGGGAGAAGAATTGCCTTGATTCGCAGCAAGCGTCGCTTTGGTGACGAGCAAGAGGAGAAAGAAAAGGAAGGTAGCTAAATAGCAAGACAAATCCTCTGTGGGAGGTTAGGGAGTGTCATTTTAAGCCACATAAAGAGCTGAAATTGGAAATGTTGGCAGGGCCCCRTGCCTCACACTGGCTGGTCGCAGGGCCGGCCGCACGGCCGCGACGCTCCGGAGGCTCCGGCACTCGGAGCTCGCGCACGGCGTGGGGCTGCATCCCGAGGGCAACGGGGCCGCGGGAGGGACTGAGGCCCCAAACACCCACGCGYGCCTCAGATCCGTTATTAATTCTGTCATTTTCCAGCTTCGCAGGCCTTGAGTTTTCAACCTTAACACTTCCTTGCCAGATTTATGGGGTGTAAGTGTCATTTGCAGTCGCTCCTAACGTTATAATACATGCTGAATCCAACACCTACTAGCTGACTCCCTGCCAAAAGGCAATATTTTTGTATAAAATGTGACCAAAAATAATTCAGCTACATAAATATACACACACGAGGCACCGCTTTTTTTTCTTCCTTTTTTTTTTTTGGAAGCGGCTCCGTGTCGAAAGATGGAATTTGGCGAGAAGAGGCTTCAAACGAGCAGTGCCTGAGCGCTTGGGGTACAAACCGAGATGAAGTCTGATCTGATCCAGCCTTGGGTGCTTTAACATGGCACTTTGGGCGCACAGCGTCCACCCTGTGCCCTTCCGAAGGGATTTTCGGAGCCCGAGCCGGCGAGCGGGGCTGTTGAGCAGCCTGTGCCGCTGCGGAGGCGTATACATAAAGGAGCCCGCAGCCGTAGACGTACAGGCGGGCCGCTTCCCTCTGCTTCCCTACCCTCCGTGCACAGGGGTGTAGCCGTGTGCGGGTGTAGCCACACACATGGTGTAGCCGTGCGTGCGGGTGTAGCCGCGCACAGCCGCTCGCCGGACACAACCCGCCGCCCTCGGCCCCGCGCCCGTGGCAGCCCGCTTCGCCCAACGCTCCTCTGCATTTAACCAGGTCAAACAAGCACGCTCTCTTTTGTTTCCTGTTACGAAATGGAACTGAAAACAAGATGCCACTTACAAAAAAAAAAAATAAAGCAGTCGTCCAACCAGCCCTTGTTTTCGTAAAGAAAACAATATGCTTAATGCAGAATAAACCGCATTTTATGAAAGGAGGTCATCTTTGGGGGGAGGGAGAGGAACAATTGAAAAGAAAAAATGTGGCACAAGAGGGAATTATGAATCTTTTTTTCTTATGGAAAGTATTTACATGTTTATTTTAAGCCTAACATAAATGTAAATATTTTAAACAAACAAAAACACACTAGGGGTAACAATAGAGTATTGTCTTTTTTTTCCTTTTTTTTTTTTTTTAAATGTTGAATAAAAACTGCCGGGACAGTGCATGTATATTTTTAAACATGCTGCTTCAAAAAGCAGGATGCAAGGGATGTTGCATCTTTAATTTTTCTGTTAATTATGGATTGAGCATTGTTGTGAGTCTTGTCCTCAAAACCCAGCTCAGAAAATAAGAGCAGATGCTCATACCCAGGTTTGGCTCATGAGGGAATTGAACAGAACATATTGGTTTATAATTAATGTAATTTGTTGGATTATCTTTTGTGAAGGAGCTAAGGTAAACAACCTTGCAGCATTGTAGGGAAATTCTCGGGCGCTCAGAGCCTCTGCACTTGACGGGGGATGACAAAAAAAACCCACCCTTCCTCCTGGACGGCAGGGAGATTTGGAAGTGTCTGTCACATTCAAACATATTTTAATTAACTCAAAGGAAAGAATTAGGCTACAGACCCTAAAGCAAATTACAAATAGTGTTTAAAATCGSAGCTAATGATTCCCCAATTGACTATTCTGATTAACGGAGTTCTCTTTCCTACTTTGCTGTAATTTTGTTACAGGGCAGAGGCGGAACATGCCTTCCCGCTCGGAAAACAGCGCGCTCTTCCCACCAAGGGGGCTCATCCAAAAGGTTTCTCCCCTTCATCCACGGGTTTCTCCCCCGTGATGCTGGCCCTACTAGCTGGCCACACGCTATACAGGCAACCAGKGCATTAAGCTGCTGTCTTCCTAGGCTCGAATAAAGCAGTGCCATTAGTTATTTTTAACTCTTTACAGATTCTCTTCCTCCTCCCTTCACAGCAGCCAGACCAAGCGAGGGGCCCAGCATCACGCTGCTGCTTTGGTCCTTCTGCCTTCATGGACTGCCTTCAAGGCCCCCATCTGCCCACAGGTCTCTTCACAGCCTGGATGGGTAACGAGATTCCCACTCCTGGATGGGTAACGAGACACCCACTCCCTTTTCCAGGCCCAGCCTAAGTCGGCATCGTTCTCAGACACAGCAGCAAAGAGCTYGGGGCGCTCGCCCGCCAAGTCCTGTGTCAGAAATGAAGTAGATCTCCAGCTCAGAAATGTACATGGCTAATGAGCTGCAGGCACAGCTGATACCAGCACAGTTCCATCCCAAGCTCACAAGGACGATGCTCATTCATGGGGAACGCCAGTCTTATCGGATTGGTAACTTTATCTCAAATATCATGTTCAAATTTTCATACCCTTATAAATTAAGAAATACCAGAACGAAGTGACCAGATGTTCAAGTCGCCTCCGTAGCACTTTGCTTGCGAGGCACACATTTAAAATGCATGCAGGTTTGCCAGGGCTTCTCTCTGCAGAGCCTCTGCCACCACTTCCCTGGGTCAGCCGCTTTCGCTCCCGCAGTTTTCCAGGCTCCGGGAGACTCCCGGCTCCGCCGTGTCCCAGGGAGCCAGCGCTGTGCGGTGCCTCTGCAGAGAGGAACTGTCCTTTCAAACYACAGCTGGGGGGAAAAGGAGAACCTAGAAGCCGGGGAGAAACTCAAGCTGTGAAAGCCACGTCTCCCCATTCCCAGTGAAACGTCCTTCCACAGACTCCTGCTTTCCCTTCGATAACTTCCTACTGTTTCTGAARGACTCAGAACATAACTCTAAGAGGATTACAATGATTAGAAGTTTAAAAGAGTAAATGTGTTGGTCCACSTAAGCGAGAGACACCAAGAATTAGSCTATGGGGCATCTTCAATCACTCATTACTCCATTTTTCCTGAGCCGTTCGGACGCCAACAGCACAGCGTTTTCTTCTCAAATTTTGCAAAATTAAAAATATAAACCAACCCGGCTGTTCTCTGGCTGAGACCTTGGATTCTTTGGCACCTAATACAACAACAAGGAAGTTGATTTCATATCACGCTGGCAACAGCTTATGTTAAAACTGCATTCTTGCTGCTTTGAGGTTACTGCACATGGGTTTTTTTGCTGTACATAAGCGTACAGCAGTTTTTACCAGCTCGCGTTGCCTTTGTCCATGGGATAGATGAGAGGAGCATTTCCCACGTGCTCACACACAAGTGAAAATGGACCCTTTCTGGGTTCAGCTTTGCTGGTGTAACAGCAGAACACGGCACAGCCGCAGCACACTCTCCATGGAGCCAGCACAAGGGTTTCCCGTCTCTGCAGACCCCACAACCATTAATTGCCCCCTATTTATTTACCATTGTCTTTGGTGAATATCTGACCCCACGCTGGGTCGCCTTCTCCCGTGGGGAGCGGCTGGATGGCCTTTTCATTACAACGCTAATAAGAGCGGCTCGTATTTACCGACAATGTAATTATATCGGTTTTAACTATCACTCATTCGCTGCCTCCATACATTCCACACAGTGTGATTAAAATTTGGGAAAGCAAAATGCAAAAAAMCAAAACATTATGTGAAAGGGTTCGTGTCCTCAAAGGATGAGGGCAAAAAAAAAAATCACACAGAAACAAATGGGGTTTTAATCCCCCTATCTTGGATCCTGTTCCCACTGTGTTAGGAAACAGAGCAGTGGGAGGGGGCCCAAGGGAGGGTGACCCATAGGAATCCTTTGCTCAGCTGAAATGATGAGATGAAAGCCTTTGGGGAGCCCAGGCTGGTCTGTGGCTTTTCCCCATGAGGGCTGCCACTTCGGGAGGGCACGGAGTTTTTACTGGAAGTTGAGCGTTGGTTGACCAGTGTTTTTAGTGGCCTTCAGAACTGAAGAATTGCAAGGCTGAAGTTTTGCACCTTGATGTGGTGAATTAGCTATGAAAAATTAAACTTGGAGAAAGCAGAGAGAAAAGAAAAAGAGGGGGAAAAAACCAAAAAGCCCAGTGACCAGGGCCACTGCAGTTCTTCCCATCGCCAGGAAGTCACACAAATCAGCTGCAGCTCTCAGCACAGGAGCACTGGTCTCCGTYTGGGCCGGGAAGGAAGCTGGCTTGGATTTGCAGTGGATGCCSCAGTGCAGGGAAGCTGGGGAGCAGTGCAGAGCAGCCCGGAGCCCCCRCGGCCCCTCGAGGGGCCCGAGCCCAGCAGTCCAGTCCTGTGGTCTCTTACGCACACTACGAACRCCCTGGTCCTCAAACCTTCTGCAACACTAGATTTGATCGCAGGGCAATGTAAGTCAAGCAGCTATTAGCAAGMTCACTTTGCAGAAGGGAAAAGGTAGCAGTTAAGGAATTAAGTGTTTCCTTTTTCTGATAATCATCTTCAAATCCAGCATCCTGCTGAGCCTCTGTGTTACAGGCATCTTTAAATGCCACCATATCGAGCCGGACAATCTGGGAACTGCCCACACTCCAGAGAGGCTATTTTGGAGTTGTTCCCCCTGGAAACAGCCACCTCGGGTCAGGTGCCCCAGCTCCGGCTCCTCCTGAATGTCCTTCATCTTCCATGAGACAAGACCCTGATTTGGGAACGCTGCATTTTAGATGAGCTCTGTGGTTYGGAGCATAAAGGAAGAGGGGGGAATCTTGCAGAGCAAACAGCTGCCTGGGCTATTGGGCATTAAAATTGGTACCTTGAACCCGAGGCAAACCCACGGCAAAATACATTGCTTAATAGATGGGCTCTGCTTCCTGCACTGGAGTGATTTCCTGGGTTAAAGTGCAGCCCCTGCCCAACGCGCTGCAACAACCTCATCCGGACAGGAAAAAAGGTCATGGGGAAAGAAGCACCACTTGGGCATCCAGGAGAGTGCCCTGCAGCCTCTCTGCTGCGTAAGGAGGTCTCTGCAGCTTTAGGAGCATGCAGYATGCTTGTTTCTTGCAGGCAATGGGAACTGCACGAGCAAGCAAGCTGCAGAGCCTGCAGACCCCTTGGTCCTTACCTCCAGTCACCCTGCAGCTGGGGCAGGCTCTATGTAGGAAGGGGTGCAACAATTCCCAGGATCTTTGGGACATTGGAGTTGTGATCTTCTGTCCCCTTTTAAAGGGAGCCAGATTTAAGCAGGATTTCTTCCCGTTTTCYGATTATGCTGTGTAACTACCACGTAAAACAGCTCCCCCAGACAGTCCAAGCCCAGCTCTGCCACGGCAAAGCCAAGCACAAGCAAGGAGAGGACCCGCAGGCAGAGGAACAGTCAAAGCCAAAGCAACTGCTTCCACGACAGGCCRTGGCAGCCAGATCCAGAACAGCTCCAGAAATTCCCTACGGAGCAGGCTTCGCTGCAGTCTCACTTACGCACATCCAGAGACCAGCTTTAYGCATCCTGTCAGCGCACACACAGGGCAAAGGCACTTTCCAGCTCCAAGAAGGCATGTTCCTCACGCCTGCTTTCCGGAGGCAGCAGCAGTCCGAACGGGAAGCACGCGGTATCCTTAAACAAATGGCACGCTATTATATATTTTCTTAAGGTGTCTTGCATTATTAAAGCCTCTTTAAAAAACAAAACTGAACACTGATGCACATGACTGTACAGAAGTTACGCACCGGAGTAGAAACGGACGGCGACTCTGTTCTTCCACTTACCCCGCRTTAGCAGAACTAGAAGCACAGAAGCAGTAGCAAAACATCTGCAGATACTTCTTTATTGTGGTATTTCTGCTAGGTCTTCCCAGGGAACTCAAAGAATTCACACAAATTGTGGATTTGATGACTTTTTTTTTTTTTTTACTAACAGTTACTTTCTAATAATCTGCTCGAGAGAACATTCATCATCAAAATTTGGACACGACGTCACCAACGCAAATAGCAAATTCTCCAGCATTTTCCTGGGTGTTTAAGGAAAATGGCCAAGAGAACAGGGAAACTAGATGTTCAGTGTGTGTTGGAGAATTCAATTCCACCAGCTGAAGACCAGGCCACGCATACTCCTTAAAAACCCCAAAACATTACTTAGCAAAATCAACAACTCAGATTAACAGTGCAGATTAATGCTGCTGTTTCATTGCAACCCCAAGAGTTTTTTTTTTTGTGTGTTGTTTTCATTTTTGTTTTCCTGAATTACAGCTTTGACTTTCAGGAAATAGAGGAATATAATAGGATGTTGGCTTTGTTTTACCACTAAAGTTCCTGAAAGGGAGCTGGAGAAGGAGAGTGACGTGTACTCCCCACACCACAGCGAGCCTGCAACACGCCCAGGTCTATTTTAGGCATCTACCTCAGGGAGCATCATAGAGGGAGCAGGAACCTTTGGTTTGAAACCAAAGCCCAACCTGGACTCCAGTTACTGAAGGTTTTTTCCCTCCCTTCTCTTGGCTCTCTCCCAAGTTCTCTCTCCCGGGTCAGGATTCCCAGCACATCTTTGGGTTCACGGCTCCTTCCCTCTTGATGCACCTACAGCTYTGTGGCCATCTGAGGACACAGTCCCCGTGGGCCCTTCCCAGGGAGCCTTCTCAGGTCCTTCAGGTCCCACCCGAGGCCAGCACCGCCTCCCTGCCCATTGCAGAGGCTCCTGCCACCATGGTCTGTCACCGTGCGTCACGGAGATAAAAGCTAATGCACAAGCCGCGCTTAAGGCCAACCTTGGATTGGCCATGAGGACTGTCCGCGATTGCCCTGAGGAGCAAGGAGTGTTTTAGTGCTCCCTATCGCAGCACAAATGTGAATCAAAGAAGGCATTAAGGGCTGGGCCAGGAGCAGGGAGATCTTTTTYCCCAAGTTATGGTCCCCCTGCTACGTTCAGCTACCTTAGGCACACAGCCAGGAGGTCTAGGCTGCAGGGAGATGGACACCAGCCACGCCAGGCTTGACACGAGCACATGAGGGACCTCAGCACCCAGTGCTTCATGTGCACAAGAGCAGCCAGTACCTGCAGGGCCAGAGCCTCCTCTCTTCTTCGGATGATCACACAGACACAGAGTCACAGAATGGTTAAGGTTGGAAGGGACCYCTAGAGCTCATCTAGTCCAGCCCCTGCTCCAGCAGGGACACCCAGAGCACGGGGCACCCGGCCACATCCAGGTGGGTCTGGGAGATCTCCAGAGCAGGAACCWCCACAGCYTCCCTGGGCAGCCTGGGCCAGGGCTCGGGCACCCTCACAGCAAAGAAGTTCCTCCTCACATGGAGATGGAACTGCCTGGGTTTCAACTTGTGCCCCTTGCCCCTTGTCCTGTAACTGGCCACCACCAAGAAGAGCTTGGCCCCTCCTCCCTACCTTCACCCTTTAGGCATCTGTACATATTGGTCAGGTTCCCTCTCACCCTCCTCTTCTCCAGGCTAAACAGGCCCCGCTCGCTCAGTCTCTCCTCACACGAGAGCTGCTCCAKYCCCTTCMTCATCCCTGTCGCTCTGCGCTGGCCCCTCTCTAGCAGCTCCACGTCCCTCYTGTGCTGGGGAGCCCAGAGCTGCCCCCAGTGCTCCAGGTTTGGCCTCCCCAGAGCTGAGCAGAGGGGCAGGATCCCCTCCCTGCCCTGCTGGCAACGTCCTCCTGATGCAGCCAGGAGCCCATTGGCCTCCTTGGCCACGAGGGCCCTGCTGCCTCGCAGGTGRCTTGGTGTCAACCAGGACTC